GAGAACCTTTGTAATGCGTATTTTTATGACGCATCTGACGCATTTCTGTTTATTCGTAGAAACCTGGAGAAATAAAGAAATACTACTACAACTACTACATACACCAATGGTTCGTCACTAGTTTTAAGCAAATCTGGTTCATAGTCGCCGTCATTCAAAAATTCCTGAGCAATAGTCACGCGGCGGTTTTTTTGTCACACGCTTCATGCCCGAAATTTACGAAAAAATTGCATGGCATGAGCCAACTGATATGCCGATATCATCAGCAACTTCTCTAATAGTGATTCGACGATTTTTCATAACGATTTTCTTCCAGGACTGACGACTTACATCTTCTCGACCTTTTGTGGAAAGCTTGTACCATTCGTGAAAATTTTCTGGTGTTTTTGAGTACTTAATTCTATTTTTCACACAAAATTTAATGCAAATTCTGTAATCCATTTGTTCAGCTAGCAGCTGACAGCTAAAACTGTTATCATATATTCGAGACTAGACTACCAGCATAAAAAATTGCCAATCGAATGTATTTTGCCCGCGAAATTTGAATATTCACCTTATTTTTTGAACAGATCTCGTGAGTATGAACAATGCCGTTCTGCGTTATTCTACCACTCTTCTTTGCTCATCAGGCAATTTTAAAAAGGTGAACACCTAACTCTTCTGTCTGTGATATAAATAATTGTACATAATTTCTTGTTTATTATATAGAATCATCAATGGAGAAGTTAATGTTCTCCATTCTTAAAAATAATACTATATTTCTCGAGAATGACATATTGCAACAGTCTTCATGTAAATGAGTAACGGTTTTACTATGATTGTACATTGGTTATAACAAGTTAGAATTTTATTGCGAAATAAACGATGTCAGTATGTTAATTTACTTTTTTCAAGTATGTTTCCTATGGGGCATTCGATTGCACGGGTAATAATATTGTCGATTCAGTAGACAGTAAATTATTCTATTTGAAAACGATGAGAGACGGTAATGATGTGGATACTCTGAAATTGTTGCTTGATATATCTTATGCAACATGTTTGTACACCTGCGCAATTTTCAGAAATGTTTTTGTTAAAGACAGAAATAATGATCACTATTAACTATTTCTAGATATTCATGAAAGTGGCGCATCAAGGAATAATAATCATTATTTCACCGATATAAAATGAAATCGGTTCTCTGATGAATACAACTGGAAAACATTCTTTCAGATACTTCTCTCTTCAGCAGAAACAGTTTGTTGAAAACAATCGAATGATCATTTTCAAAACAGTATCCCAATACTTATGCAATGTCACCATTAAAGTGCGCACCATATGGGAAACTTTTTTTCGAAAGGTTTCAATGAAGTTTACCTTCGGCACTTGTTTGTGCTTTGAATTTAACTTAAAATGATGCGGCCAACTGCGACCCACTGACGTTCAGTGTTTGTCAAATTCAACTTTTCTTTTGAAAAAAATTGAAAAAGTGCATTTCTAGATCGAATTTAACAAAAAGTTACTTGAAAAAGTTGTGTCTACGGCAATGTTATATCTATATGCCAAATTTTATGCAACTAGGATAAAGTTAACGTTTTGCTTATTTTTGACAGATATCCCCTTTATTTTAAAAAACAAGTTCGGTTAATTGTCATCAATTCATGTAT